CGCTTTGATTTTAACCCCTAAGTAGCCCCCGGAGGAGGAAGAGGAGGGGAGTCGGAGGAGAGGAAAGGTAGAGGAGGGCTGGGTAGAAAGAACCATAACGCGGGGCAAATAAATCCGAAGGAACTCAAAATCAGCAGCGGCCCAGGACAGAGAGACACCCCACCAAGATTAAGCAATGGAGGCGGATCTTGTAAACAGAAAAAAGCTGGCCTCTTGGGAGCAAACCAAAAAGGGATTTTTTTTTTTTTTACCTTTGCTTGTTTAAAAATAAAATCTCACCTCCAATTCCTGGGAAGGAGAGGGGGGCTAAGTGTTGTCTGAATGGCACGTCTCTCTCTCTCTCTCTCCGGTTCTTTTCTCCTGTGGTCTAAACATTCAACTGTAAGCAACCAGACGCGCTATTAATTTACCCAGTCCTACCTAGGGTCCTGAACCCAATTAATTTCTAATAATTATAGCCCAAGGGGCCTTGGGGGAGTGTTCCATCCCACCCCAGCTGCCTCTTCCCGCTTTTCCGAGCTGCACCACTTCACACCCCCGAGGTCAGTGGGTCATAATAAAAGGGTGTCTTTGGAAAGCGATCTGGAGAGTTCTCACCAGAAAGGGTTGATTTAGACTAATTAGCCCCACCGTTGAGTTCCGAGAATCCTGATCATCATCATCATCATCACCATCATCATCAATAATAATAATAATAATAAAAAAAAATAATAATTTTCACTCGGACTGAACAAGAATTCATATCAGCTTTGGTCAGCCAGTGAGAGTTTTAATTTCTTGACAGCGAAACCTGACATCAAGCGCTGCCTTTTGGTAAACAATAATTGCCCGACAATGATTGAATTAATCTTCCTGCGTCGGTAGCCAAGACCATCCATATAAGGGCCGAAGTTGACTAACACCCACCAGAGTTCACTGCACAAAGACAATGGCGCAACAAATACCGCGATCAAGGAGGCGAAAGCGGGACCGGAGTGGGGGAGTGGGCGAGTGAGGGGGGGGGGAGAAGAAGCATCTATCTGTAACTTCCTTTCCAAACGAGCCGCGGCTCTTGTTCAAATGCTCGACGGTGGGAAAAGGGGTAGGGGTGGGGGTGGGAATCGAAAGATGGGACTTTCTGGGTTATCTTCTTTGCCCCGGGTCCCCAAATATATTGTCGAGAGCCGTGCCTATGCAGTTGCAAGACAGGCTCGTAGGACGCCCTTCTTCCCATGTCCTCTTCCTAGCTCTGAGCAGCTTTGGGCTGTGGCGCTATAAAGGCTGTCTTCATTTCGTTTATACTGGCATAGCGGGGAGGGATGGCGTGAAAAGAGGTCGGAAAGAGGATGGAACCCGCAGAGGGAAAAGGAGGCCTTTTTCTTTTCACAAAGCGCCGGCAGGGGAAAGAGCGCCGCGGGTCTCCCTAGTCGTGGAGGACGCCGCGGGAACGTCAGAACCGGGCTTCTAAACAAGCAGCTCGGCCGGTGCAGCAGGAAGCTTTGCGAGGAAAGCTGGGTTTGTGGGCCAGGACCGACCGACGCCGGCACTGCGTGGGCGGTGGGGAGAGAAGGAGGCTTGGCACCCGAAGTTGACGGGGCCTTGGCGTGGAAACGCCGGCGCGAACCTCAACAGCTGGCGCCCCCACCTGGAAAGTCCCTTCCCCTCCCTTCCCAGATCGTAGCCCGTGTCTCTCCCAACGACAAAAATTGCGGCAGGCCAGCTTTTTCCTCTCGGCAACGGGGGAGGTTGGGGCTTCGTTAGGTCTCCAGGACTGGCTGGAGAAATCCGGAGGAGCACCAGGTGGCACCCCAGAGTTAGGGTTTGATGCTGTCACTGGCTTCTGGGCAGCACCTGGCCGACCTCGCTAAGCAAGGTCGGAGGAGGACCTATTTATCTGTGGATGGGAGACCACGAGAAAATCCCAGGGTGCTGGAGAACTAGAAGAATAATGACACATCACTTCTTGTTGCTAAGAAAACTACATTGATTTCTTCATCCGGAGTTGAACTTAACTGGAGGAATATTCTATCTTACCTGTGTTTGGTGGTGGTGGTTGTTGTTATTATTATTATTATTATTTCCACATTCTGCAAGGCCTACCATGAAGAACTCACTGAATCCTGAAAGCTTCCAGTATGTCACTGGTTGGCTAGAGGAACAAAACAGGCTAAGCCACTAAGTAGTTTGTTTGGGCTTGGCATGTTGTATGAAAGCAGCCATGGTGAGTCTGTAAACCAAAGTTGATGATTTAACATTTGGATGAGTACAGCTAATATGGTTTGCTCCATAAGCTATTCTTAAGGAAATCATGACTAGCTGTCAGCCTCAGCTTTCCCATCTGTAAAATGGGAAGCATTTAATCTAAGCTTTAGTGATCTAAGCAGGAGGGTTGGGAAGCTTAATGGATACAGGCTGGTGGTCCAAATGAAGCACTGCTGAGGCTAACTATTCTGTCCACACATTTGGAGAAAGACAGTGAGTGTAGAGGATTTCAGCGGGAGATCGTTGATATCAGTGATCAACCAAACCACAACCTATACACATGTGAAATCAGTGATATAGAAAGTTTGGGGATGGATTCTGCTTTTTTTTAAAAAAAAAAAGTCCACCCAGAATATTAACAGAGAAATGGTTCTGTACTATCTGTGTCCCCCCACTCCCATCTCAGGGCAGCAGGTGTGGTAAACTGGATTTACACACCTGGCTAGGTCCTAATGAGCCTTTCTTAGTTTCATCTTTTTTCCTGATAAAGAAACTCAGCTGTGGTTTGATTAACAAATCATGGTTAAAGCAGACTATGGCTTAGTTTTTGGCACCTTAAGTCCTGTTGCTTTAAGCAGAATTCCTTTCTGAGTAAGCCTGGTAACGATCCCTGCTATCTTCTTTGCTTCGGAGTAGGGGACTTTCTAAGGAAGTGTAGAAGATGGAGCTGCATAATCGTCTGAACGGGAAGATGGTAAACCTGGCCAGCCCTCGCCCAGGACACAGAGTAGCCTTACAAAGAGGCAACATTTGTGGCTAGACCTGCCTTCAGGAAAAGCATTTAGAAGAAGACAGCAAAGGCGAGTGAGTGAGAGTTCCTTGAAGTTGTATTAACCATTTGTATACATTTATACAAGTTGTTAGTTCAAGGGGATGCTAAAGACGCAAGGAAGCCTTAGAAGAATTAACATTCGTAAAGCCCGTTGAACGCCACAGATACAAATTGGGCTGGGACCTAGCTCACCTCCAATGCACATTTACTCAGATGTAGGGCTCCGTCGCTTTCAGTCGGTCTTCCTCCATTGCAAAATACCTCGGGTCCGATAATATTTGCACAGCTCTGCAATTCTATAGTTTTGCTTGGGCAGAAGCCTTCCCAAAGTTGGGGTTTCAGTTTTTATTTCACCACCGAAACGGAACCCTGTAAAGCCTTTAGGCTGAGACTGTTCATGAAGAGGTCGGGGAGAGATGGTTTAATTATTACATTTATCTTCCGCTTTTCCTCCAAGCCAAAAGCAGCCTGGGGGCTTTCTTCACTTTCCTTTTTCCCCTGTGAGATAGACAAGTCATTGAACTATATAGCGATTGAGTCCTATAAGGATTTGAAGGTGGGTCTCCTGGTTCCCACCCTGGTCCTCTAATCACTACACACTGTTGAGATGCGTTCACACAGAGCATCAAGCTATGGTCTCTTTACTTATGTCTTGTTGCATGAGCCCCAATGGGATTCACACAACAGCCTGACCCGTAAGTTCTGGTTTACAAACCTCAGCGCCTAGGTTTGCACAGCTCCTAAACCCAGCCAAGCAACCACATGATGGCTCAGCGCCAGGTGTGAACTCCCGTTAGATCTCACTTAGCATTTTTTCCCAGGTTGGACATCGCGAGCTCTCCACGGGCCTCCTTGTTCACCAGGTGAGCTCGTCCACAACTCTCCCCAGGCCCACGATCACCAAAAGAGGCAAGCCAGAGGGGCGACGAGCCGAGGCATCTGACCCTGCCAGCCAGAAAATGGAGAGAACAACAGGTGCGACGGAGCAAAGAAACAAGACTATTTGCCTTAGCACCCTTCCTTCCTGCTATGCCTTTAAGAGATGCGCATCCCCCCAGCCTTCCTTCTATCTGGAGGTGAAGAGAAAGAGCCACTCTTCACCTGTTGGATTTTTCCACCTTCCCCAGGGCTCTTAAGGGCCCGGGAGCCTCGCTCGGGGTTGTAAAAGAAGGCCTCTTCAATGGGGGATGAGAACGCAGGCAACAGCAAAAGTGCATTTGGATATCCAGGAAGAAATGTTATCTCCGCGCTCTCCCCCCCGCCCTGGGGTTCACGGATCCCCTTCTCAACCTCCCCCCCCCTCCCCTTTTTACCCCCCGGGGGGCCCCTCCCCCCCACCTTTCTTTTTGTTTTAACCCCCCCCCCCCCTCTCTCCTCCCCCCCTCACCCTGCCTCTTTTCCTTTTTTTTTTTTTTTTACTTTTTTTTTTTTTTT